TTACATTTTGTAATTTGGGTTATAACATTACATACCTTTCCATCCAAGTTACTAATTTTTCACTTAAGCAGTAATGTTGTTCAGAAGGATCTATATACTTTATAAGAACTAGATAGTTATTGATGATTGTATCTTCTCACACTGACTTTAGAATATCACTAGCTACTTTGAAGTTAAATTTTTCTAATTTTTTATTATTTGTTCTTAACTGTGAATTCAAATGTGTTCCAAATATATTATATAGAAGTATGATACCAGCTAAGTCATGACTTAGAGGTGCTATTCATCTTTTAACTGGGTTAGATGCACTTTGATATAGTACAAAGTATGCAACAATAATAGTATCAAGCTTACACTAGTTGAAATTAGCAAAAACGTTACAAATCAGCAAATATTTGACATACTATTCAACAACTATTTGCCAATTTGTGACATTTTTGCTAATTTCAACTAGTGTTATACTTATCAAAATGCTTAATCATAATCTGAATTATCTTTTTATATTATGGATTCTCATCAGGACTACTATCAGTTAGCAATACTACTAAAGATTTAGGCTAACTATTTACTGTTGTAGTATAGTTGTGCAATTGTTCTTCAATCATTAAATTATTGAAATCTTTGTTATGAGAATAAGCAGTACTACTATCATGTTTATTACTACAGATTCTTATAAATGTTGGACCTGAATATATTATTGTTTCAGCATTTCTATACTTACCTTCTTGTATATCTAATATTGCATAGACTAAAGGAATTAGTTTATGCTTTTCAGTGATAATCTAGTCATAATTAGAAAGTTCTACTCGATATTCTAGTTTTATAAGAATTGGTGCTATATAAACAAAATTATTTATTATTAGTGTAATATTTTTTATTTAAGAGCAGAATTGCTTACTTATATACTTGCTAGAATAATAGTTTTGGTAATAATCTTTATTATTCTTAAAACTCTTATAATATATATAATAAATAAAACTATAAAGCTTTTATAACAACTTTGTAAATCTCATTACACTAATTTCATCTAGATATTAGAAAATAAATCTTAATAGAATCTATAAGCAGAGGACCTACATAGTAGAAATCCTAAGTTAGTAAAATAGTACAGCTTTCGATAGTTATATTAGCTAATAATTGATCTGAATAGAAACTATTGCTTAAAAGATATAAATCAAGTTAGATACGAATAAGTTTGTTCTACAGGAAGAATCAGCAACACTAACTTGGCTTAGCAGCTAACTAAATTTGAGAAGATCTACTTCTTAAAATATCTAAAGAGATTAGCAAACAATATCAGTAGAGAGCTACAGTTAAAACTGGAGTTGTATAAACATCTGCAAAAGTTTAAGCTAGGTGAATTTATAAAATACGTATAAACTGCTCTAGTAGATTTGCTTAAGAGATTAACTGAAGCTCTGCATGCTATAATATATTGAGTAATACACATCTCACATATTCTGAGAGAATCTAAACTAAGTTAGATAAATAGATCTGTAACAAGTCAGCTGAGTTAAAGATTAGATATTATAGTGATGTTAGTTGATTCTAGTATAGGTTAGTTAAATAGAGTATTTAAATAGGTAACTCATAAGCAGGTTATAGATATAGCAGCTTAAGTAAAACCAAACAGGTAATCTATTTATATAGTGGACTATTTAATTTAGATAATAACTAAAGTTGTATATATAGCAGATTATACACTCTTCATATAATTACAAACTATAGAGGATTGTCAATAGACAACCTCATATATTAATTAATAAAATTCACTCAGCATAGTAAGCTACCTTAATAATATAAAAAAAATAAAACTTTTATAACATTTATAAATATTATAATGATTATAAACTCTATAACCCTTAAAACTATTATAATGATTATACAGATAATAATAGTTAAATCCCTTAATACTACTATAACTACTATAACTATTATAACTATTATCTCTCTTATTACTATAAGTTCTCTATAAAAGTTAAGAATCTACTTAGCTATAAAATTAAACTGCAGCTAAGTTATATGAGCTTTAAAAAGGAAGCTCAGAATCTAATTTTCCTATATAATATCTTTTTCAACCTTCTACTTAGAATTAATTATTAGATTTAGATTATATATTGTATTGAATTATTAGAATTTAGATACTAATATAACCTAACTTCTAGTTTAGTTCTGTATAGAACCAGTTCATATTGTTGACCTATAAAATATTAAGGAAAAGCACAAAATCCTTAATAACTTTTGATCCACCAGTCCGAATTGGATGAAACATATACCATTGGAATCAGCTCACTGCGGCAG